TTCCCCCTCCAGCACCTACCACACGGAGCCGTAAGCCCCCGAGCCCACCGGGGTCAAGTGCTGATAGCGCTGGGGAACCTCCCACACCGTTTTATTCAAATCCTGCTTATAGAAGCCGCCTCGCTCAGACATTTTCCGGAGCCGGCGGCGGCAGCAGCAGGAGCAGCGACGGCGACTGAGTTACAGCTGGCAGTGGAAGAGCAAAACTGAGCCGGCGGGGAGGAGGCCGAGGGAGGGGAGGAGGCTAAGAGACGACGCCGAGGAGCGGGAGGGGGAGGAGGGAGCGAAAGGGGATGAATGGAGAGGCTGAGGAGAGGGAGGGAGAACATAAACCGATCTGGAACCGAGTCGGGGCAGAAAGATTTCCCTTTCCGATCTGAATCCTGGGCCCTCGTCGATCACCTCACCGCCTGGGCTTAGTCATTAAAGAGAAAAGGTTTGCTCCACGCAACGCTACTTTGCTTCCCCCAAGCTGGGTCTTCCTTCCACGTGTTTCGGACCCCAGTTCCATCGTTCCCTCCCCAGCATATCCAGGGCTCAGAGATCATGGGAATGACAGATCAAATCATCGGGAGGATCTTATGCAAATACAGAGGTAGGCAGGGGGAGATGTCACAAGAGGAGGAATAGGTTTGCACAGGCTCACCAAACTAGTTTTCCCTACATTTAGTTCCTTGGGAATAGGACTGGAAATTAGTTCACTCTTAAAATGGAGAGAGGAAGAAGCTGGAGAGGGAGTCTTCTGTGTTCTGATTCTTTTAACAGCACAGCACAGGAAAGGCTGCTGTTTCAGGAACAAGGAATGATAGAAACTTGGATGCTACAGTGGTGGCCGTGCTAGATGCTAAAATGTGAAGATGAGATGTAAGGCTTTCAAACGCTCAGGGACTGGCACGAGGAAACCACAACTAAACTTAGGCCCCTCGTGGTTAACTAACTCCTGTAGCTGGAGACATACCTTCTTTCACTGGTTATGTTTGTTCAATTATTTGTCTGCGTAGGCCTGGCATTCTCTGTAGCGCATTGAAACCTTGATTAAAATGGAACAGTAAATAGAATAATTTAATCCACTGCAGCAAAACAATTGATCACACAACTGTATGAATTGACTTTGAGAAAGCAGATCGGGCTTTCAGCAGAAGTAGATGAATTAGCCTTTGGAAGATAACAGGAAAAACAACCCCAAAGAATTGTGGGGCATCATCAAGCTGTGGAAATCCTTGGTGCTCTCTGAGCTTGGTTGTTTGCTTGCCCACGTTTCATTACCCAGCTAGGTAACATCATCAGTGCACATGAGTGTGGGGTTTGGTGGGGGTGTGGTAGTTCCTTGATTAGGGTATTGTTTTCTGCATGATTGCCTGGTGTTAATCCCTGCTTATCTGGGTATTGGCTGCTGAGGAGGATGTGTTCTGGTCTTTTTGTTTCTTTCTTAGCTGTTTTATTGTCTCTTTTGAATGGTGAGTAAATATGATTTAAAACTGGCAGGGCAAGCTACTGTATATAAACAGGGAGCAAACCCCACACTCACTCACACTGATGATGTTACCTAGTCAGGTAATGAAATGACTGCAAGCAAACAATCAAGCTCAGAGAACACCAAGGGCTCCACAGTTCAACCCTGATATATTCTCTGGTATTGGCATCTTAATGCAGAAGGGCACAAGATGATCCCCAGGCCACATGAAGCCCCCCAAAGCCTTGGGTGTGGTTCTCAAAGGTTAGGGTCATCACATTCCAGGTGTGACAATCCAGACAACTACTAAACGGCTGCAAAGAGTTAGTTTTCCATATCTCTTGCTACCAGTCATCCAGATTTTTACACTCCAGAACTGGCAGCACAACCCAAGACCTCAAAAATTTATGTTATTGTAGAAGGCAGAAATCATTAAATACATGACCAATGAATAATTGTATTAACTATATCTTACATTTCAGTGTTCCTAAAATTTTCAGTTTACTTTTTGTCCTGGCCCTATTCGTTATCTGCTTGGGAAAAAACTTCACATCCCCCTCAAAGTTGAACAAACTTCATTCCATTAATTTTTGTCAGAAAGCAGCCAGACTCCTGAATGCAGCTATCAAGGTCTGTCCCAGTTTTCTGCTGCACACATAGATATCGGGAAGAGGATGTTGACCATTATGGCCACGTAAACCTTGTGGCTATAGTAAAATTAAGGGTTATGCGAAAGCCAACTATCAAAATGCATACAGTGGTTTCATGCTAAACACTGTTTGGAATAACTTTCTAGGTAGAGCTTTTGCAGTCTGTGAAGCTGCCCTGATTATGTGTAACGGAAGCAGCCATCTACACATAAATATATGTTCAATGCTATTCAGTTCCATCTGTGTTCTTTGCATTGCATTAAGTTTTAGAGATCAATCAAACAGTTAGAAAGACTGAAGGTAGATCTGGTATTTATAAGCAGTCAGTAACAGGAAACTAGATGTAAGTTATGCCATCTCTTTAGACAATTCCAATATAACACACAGCACCAGCTTAATCTTGTTTATTTATGGAAGCAAAGAACAACATCCCTCTGCCAATTTGACAAACATGAACAAGACTGGCCGATGAATCTTACTTCATTGCCAATGGAAGAATACCTTCCTCCATACATAGGTAGCAGGTGATCCAGCAGATTCACATGTGTCTTTCAGAGAGGAACGGCTAGAGGGGTCTAAACTGGATTGCCCAAGGATGATCACCTCCACCCCACAGATTTTACGACCAGAGGCAGAATATCACTCTGCGTAGAGAATAAGGAAGATGACCTTGACGGAATTATGCCAACTCTTACCAAAGCAACAAGGGGTGAAACATATCTTAAATCTACAACAGACAGATAATATTAGGAAGAGACTCTGAAAGATTCCTCTCTAATTCACAGGAGTATAAGGAGGAGGAGCTACAGCACAATCAGACTTGCAAGATTCTGTTATTATAGCTAGTCTGAATAAAGGTAGCTCCAGCCATCCTGCAGAGTTGATTTCCTGGTCTGGTCTACCTGGTGGGGCTGAAACCCTGCTAAATGTCAGGCCAGCAGTACTGATACAAGGAGATCATCTCTCTTTCTTGCAAAACTCCCAGGTGCGTGGTATGTAGGAAAACAACTAGTCCAGCACCAGACTGCCTTCTTTTAAAATTAATTAATTAATTTTTACAAAATCCTTCCTTTGTCTTGTTGAGGATTGGTGGTTTTATTGTGAATTTTTTTTCTTTTGTATAATAGAATGCTCTAGGCTCCTTTGAGAGGAAGAACAATATCAAAATAAAATGAATTGACCTCATCACTATCTTTCTCTCAACTTAGTGAAGGTGTTTGTAGTTCTGTTTTGCATGGATAAGGCATCTGATTACACTTTTTCGATTGCAACATATTGTTTTCACCCTATACTTCTTCAGAATTCAAGAAAATTCACCTGGGATACATGGGTTGATGGCAAACCTATAATGCAGCTAAGCTATATGAACATATTTGAATTTGGAACTAACCTCATTATTGAGCATTAGCAGTTTTTCAGTTCTATCCCATGAAATGTCCCGTGTAACTTTAAAGGCTTGCTGACATTAACACTCTCCCCCTTGAACTTGCGCCAACAAAAGATGACTTTGCCACTTTTGTATCTTCTGAAAGGTAAGCTCAATTCCTTACCACTAATTTTGGCAGAGAAATTTGCAAAGTCATATCATTTTTTTAAAAGGAGAGAAACAAAACCCTGGGCTTCACAGAAATCCCAAAGTTATTGTTCCACTGAGGTTAATTCCATAAATAAGATGACACCATCTCCTAACTAGCTTCTATCACATTCACAAAATGAAAAACATGTACCAGAAAAGAAAAAAAAAACGAATTCTACAATGCAAATTGGTTGTAAGTGGACTGATACTGCAAGAAGACGTAAGGTCCATCTAATAAGGACTGAATCAGGGGCATGAGGACCAAGCTATAAACACATGACAGAATAAAAGGGCCTTTCTCTGCTTGCAATATGCCTAAGTAGCATCAATCAATCAATCAATCAAATCTTTATTTTGGTCAGAGACCAGCGTAAAATAAAATCAAAAAGAATTACAGACATTTCAATAATTACACTGGAATTTATGAGAAATTAAAAAAACAAACTAAAAACTAGCGCTGCTGACATAATATTATATATTAAAACATTAAAATCTCCCTACAAAATTCTTAATACCAAAACTATTAATTAAAAGGGGCAGGGTTCTGAAAGTCACAAAGAGGATGTATAGATAAAAAAATTTTCAGTGAGTTTACCCATGCCGAGTATCCCTAGTTATCTGTTTATGGATCTTAATTGCTGCCAGGCAGAATCTAGCACTATAATACAGGGGGTCCTTGTTCAGCAACTGTTCAAACTTGCGATGGTGCGGAACAAGTGGTAGTTATGACTGGTCCTTGAATTTCCAGCTGTCGCAGTCAGTCCCAGATTCAGTCCCTACAGTCAAGTGATCACAATCCGGATGCTCAGCAACTGGCCCAGATTTACGACCATCGCAGTGTCCCATAGTCATGTGATCACGATTTGTGACCTTCCCTGCTGGCTTCCCACAAGCAAAGTCAATGGGGAAGCCGGAGGAAGTCAGAAGTCAAGAGGGTAGCTCTGTCATCAAGCCTTCATCCTGCTTTTATGTGCATCATGCAGACAACTCATATAAATAAGGGGCAGAGCTTTGATCATGCAGTCAGAGCCACCATCTTGACTGTTTTGACCACCCCACAGCCACTCCTGGCTATGTGATATAATAATCCAGACAACCATCCCTCATAACAACGGAATATAGGTTCAGATTAAATCAGTGTTTCTTTAAAGTGCTGTATCTTTTTATTGTTTTATCTGTTGATTTTTTACTATTAGAGGGGATTAACATGATTTATAATATCAATTGACAGAGAACATTTCTAAACTCATTACACCATGATTATCTGCTGTTTTGTTTTGTGATGCCTCATCAAATTTTTGGATAAGAAACACAGGACTGTAAAAATAATTTTCATTTAGTTGTTCAGATAAGATTCAGCTAAAATAATCCTACTAAACCCTAATCATACCACAAACCAAAGGAACCAGCTTCTATTTATTTGAGAATCTGAATCTCTTTAGTACAAAGCTAGAAGTAAAAACTGAAAGGGTAAGGTTTGACATAGTGATTAAAATAAAATAAAT